ACTGGTGCAAAGGTCTCTAAGTAATCAATGCCATAGGTCTGTGTGTACCCTTTTGCAACAAGTCTTGCCTTGTACCTTTCTATACTTCCATCTGCCTTATAYTTTAYYRTGTAAACCCATCTGCATCCAACTGTCTCCTTGCCTTCTGGTAGATCCACAATGTTCCATGTCTGATTCTTAATCAAAGCTGCCATCTCTTCTTGCATAGTTGTCTTCCACTCAGGTTTGGAGAGAGCCTCACTAACACTCTTGGGTATAGACACTGAGTCAAGAGAGGAAAGAAAAGCACTGTAGGAAGGAGAAAGTCCATTGTAGGATAAGTATTGTGAAATACAATGAGCAGTACACTTTCTCTTCCCTTTTCTGAGAGTAATAGGGAGATCAAGGTTATCTGTAACAGGGTTGGTAGAATCAATGGGAATTGGAACAGTAGCGGGACCAAGAGGAATACCTGAATCCATGTCAGCCGAATCTGGAGTCTCAAAGGAATCGACAGGAAGTGATGTGAGTTCTGCTGTAGTGGAATCAACCTCCTTGTGAAGTCTCTGTCGTAAGTAATGCTGAGAAGCAGAACGCAAAAGAGGTGGCAAGGTAGGTGACACAGGGTGGTGGTCAAGCACAGGAATAGACATAGGGACTGGAACTGGGAGAGGAATAGACTGCTGACTCACTTCCCCAAAACACTCCCCTTGAGAAGGATTCTTTGAGAAGAAGTACGTGGATTCAAAAAAGGTGACATCCTTGGTAACATATCGGCTCCCAGAGATTGGATCAAAGCAGCAATACCCTTTCTGATTCTCTGCATATCCAAGGAAGACACATTTCTTTGCCTTGGAATCAAGCTTTGAGCGGTGATGACCAAGGATATGTGCAAAGCAGACACACCCAAACACCCTGAGAGAAATATGAAACATCTCCCCTTGAGGAAAAAGGAGACTGGATGGGGTGCTAAATCCAAGTATACGAGAGGGCATCCTGTTAATCAAATATACTGTTGTGAGAACTGCATCACCCCAAAATCGAACTGAAACTGTAGATGTGATCATCATGCGTCTTGTAATCTCAACAATGTGTTTGTTCTTCTTTTCTGCAACACCATTCTGCTGTGGATTGTAGGGACAACTGCTCTAATGGACAACACCATATTCTAACAGATATGAGGCAAGGTGTCTTTCAAAATATTCCCTGGCATTGTCGGATCTGAACACCTTTATTCTTGTTCCAAACTGTGTTAGCACCATCTGATGAAATTGCCTCACCAAGGATGGTACTTCATCACGGGGTCTCATTAGGTAAATCCAAGAGTATTGTGAGAAATCATCCACAAATAAGAGAAAATATCGATAGCCTCCCATAGAAGGAACATGGTAAGGGCCTCACACATCCGAATGAATAACATCAAAAGAAGAATAACATCTTTTATTACTAGGTTTAAATGAATGTTTGCAATACTTTCTAAGTTGACAATCTTCACACTCCAGACTTAACAAACTAACAGACTCAAAAAAGTTTTGGAAACAAAAAACTCAAAGAAGAAAAGAGTAAATGGCCCAAATGATTATGCCAAAGCATAATTTGACCCACAGACCCTGACTCACTATCCCTGCTGACATGATGACTTTGATGAGGAGGAAGTACATTCAAGAGGTAGATTCCATTCACTTCATGACCACTCCCAATCGTCCTCTTTGAATCCATATCTTGCAAAATACAATGACCAGATAACAAATTAGTGCTCAATCTGGGAACATGAAGGACAGAGGGTAGAGAAATAGAATCACTAATCTTAGTAGATCCCTTTCCAACAATAGGAACATGGGATCCATTAGCTGTGGAGACCCTATATTTGCCAGAACAGAGCTGGTAAGTTGAAAAAATAGTAGAGCTTTGGGTCATGTGCTCTGAGGCTCCAGAATTTATAATCCAAGGAGGTCCCTCCTTACTTGAAGTAGAAACATAATTTGCAGTGACGTGTGAATTACCTGTGTGAGCAAAGGAAGTAGAGTGGACTCCACCAGTGCCACCTATACCTTGCTGTCCGCTTGCGGCTGAATTGGAACTGGCTGTATCCCGTTGGTTCAGAAGTTGTCCATACCTCTCAAGTTCGGCCTTTATTGCAGCAGTTGC